AGGGACTGAAGCTAAAATCATAGGACTTGCCCTTCCCAACTTTACAATTACAGTTATAGCCCTAGACAATAACCATCCAAAAATCCAGATTTCCCGGTTATGAAATGATTCTATCAAAATCCCATCTCAAAATACAAACTTTCCCTTTAGTCCGTCATTGTCAAGCAAGAATTTTAATGACTGTGCTAATGGGAATCTCAAGAACAAAACTGTAAAGAAGGAAACTGGAAATAGATTCAAATGAAACAAACTATTTACACATAACCAAGAAAGATTAACAAATTAAACCTTCAAACATATTTTACAATAAAGAAACACAAAATTACAAACCATAAAGAGAAGAGAAGGCTGGCAATTTTATACAAACCAGTGCCAACCATAACAAGAATTTTAAACCCAAAGAGCACTTATATTCAGGAAATCATTAAATCAGAAGGTCTATAACATCAACTTTGCAACTACTTTCTTCTTTGAACGAGTCCTCTGGCTTTTCTCATCTTCCTGTCGCTTTGACTTGGTCGGCCATGAAATAAAGATACAAACCAGTTTGGTTTTCCTGTTCGGAAGACATGATATCCCATCAGCAGTCCAAAAACAATTCCATATCCATAGCCTAGCACCACGACTCTCCAGCCAAATCTACACAATTCATCTTTGTCTTGGAAGGAGCTCTGCGGAGTCCCAATTCCATCACAAGATTTTGATAATGGGATTCCACTCAGTCCAAGGTTTCCTTCATAAGAATCATTTCCAAAAGTGCTGAAGTGATTGCCTTCTGGTATGCATCCAACAAGATGATTATTTGAAAGATTCAATAAAGAAAGTTGTGTCAAAGATACCCATTCATCTGGAATTTTCCCTACTAGCGTGTTGGAAGAGAGATCCAACCATTCAAGAATTTTCAAATTCCCTAGTGACGGTGAGATAGGACTAGTAAGTTTGTTATGAGAAAGATTATGCCCTTTGAGATAACTAAGCTTTCCAATAAGCTCTGGAATTTCTCCTCCAAACTTGTTATTTGAGAGATCAATGCTAGTGAATGTGGTCAAGATTCCTTGTGGCTCATCCTCAAATCATTTCATTGTCACAACCATTGAATATTGATAAGAACTCACATTCGTCTCCGTTCTCATGTATTCAGGAGAACCCTCATCTCTATAGAGGTCCTCATGTTTTCGTCTCCATCCTTGTTCTCTTCTTTGGGTTTGATTTCCTCAACTGTTGCCAGGGTTGCATGGCAAAATTTCTTTCTCAAGGAAATAGTCAAGCAGGCTGCATCAACTCCATCTCTCTCTATCAACAGGCTATCTCTGTCTTCCCCATGGAATGCCACTGATGTCACGCCTGTTTATTCCATACCATTTTAGAGAAACTCAGAAACATCAATGCTATTCATTTTGTTTATACACAGATTCCTTAATGAGAGATCATGATCAGTAAACCTATCGTCTGCTACTGCAGCTATCTTCATGGCCTTTGGGCGGCATTTGTCACAGTGCATTGACACCTTAATCACTATCTTTTACTGCAGCATCAAACAGAACAGATCATGCTTCTGGAAAAAAAAAAAAACAATCTCCAAAATCCGAGGTAAAAAGGCGACAAATAATTTCATATCAAAAAATAATTTTTCAGAGGATTAAATTAGCTACAAGAACAAAAAAAAAAAAAAAACCGAATTTTATGTATTTATTTTATGAACTCTATAGCTTACCTTCATATTCTCCTGCACCCAAAATAATGATGCAAGTAGATGGAATGTAAAGCATGCGGTATTGTATATACAATATATATA